AGCTGGCCTTGGAAAAATCCAATAGCAGGAGAAGGTACCAATAGAGGTGGCTCTTTATTTTTCTCTCTCCAAATACTATTCCATTCATTAGAATTTGAATGATAGCAGAAATGACAACAGAAAACTCAAGGAGACTGACATTCCAACATTTAGATGTACAAAAATAGGGGCGCCTGGGTAGCTCAGTGGGTTAAGGCCTCTGCCTTCGGCTCGGGTCATGGTCCCAGGGTCCTGGGATCGAGCCCTGCGTCGGGCTCTCTGCTCCACAGGAAGCCTGCTTCCTCCCCTCTCTCTCTCTCTGCCTGCCTCTCTGCCTACTTGTGATCTCTCTGTGTCAAATAAATAAAATCTTAAAAAAAAAATAGATGTACAAAAATATCGTGGGGACTAATAACTCGGGGTCAGATTTAATGTGTCATTTTAAAAAGTCGTCCTGTGACATAACTTAACTTGGAAGTTAGATGCAGCTGGCAGTACGTGTCCCCAGCTCATAAGAGGTTTCCCCAAAAGCAGCAGCTTTCCTCTTTAAGGCACAGAGAGGAAGGGTCATTGACTACCGACCCAGCGGCTTGACCGGCATAACGGAGCAATCTCAACACAGTTCTCAAGGGTGAAACGCCCTGACAGCAGAAAGGACAAGTGCTTACGTCACACTCACAGCTGATTTATAATTTCTGCCACTAGCCCAGGGACAGGGTGGGAGCTCACTCCTCAAGACATAAATGTTCTCTGATGATACTACACTTTACTAGCAACAGACCTGTTTAAAATCGAAGCAATATGGAAGTCTCACACTTTACACTGGATCTGTTGCATCAATATTTTCTTCCACCTCCCATGTGTGGAAGGTTTAACATATTCTAGCAGTAGACTAAAGAAAATAAAGATGAGAAACTCTACTTGGAGATCATTTCAGACAGTGCCAAACACATGAAAGTGATATTCAGTGAGGGTAAGATTTTAACAAGAACAAGAGGATAGGATTAAATTACTCCAACGGTACATGAAGTCACATTCTGCCTTGGTCACTTGGAGGCAACCTTGGTAAATCTTAAAGTGAAAATCTGCACAAAATATTTACCTTGATTAAGGTTTAATTTCTAGTTTAAGATTTTTCCATTGTTTGAAAGTACAATATCACATAAGGAGTTCTGTTTCAATGTGATCTAGATTAAAAATGCCTATTAGTTAAGGTGAGTTCCGGTTTACCTCATCTCATTAGGTCCAGGAATGATATCTGCAGGCTTTGGGAATATTGCTTTGAACCCAATACCTGAGATGCTCTGGGAGCTATGTCGCTGTTTTTTCGGGCAGCACAGGAGTACCATCACTGGCTTCACATCTTTTTGTCAAGTGCAGGGATTCCAAGTAACCCTGGTCAGTTCATTGAAATCAGCAGAGGTGATGTATTCAATACAGTGTTGCAGATGTGGGGGACTGGCCTCCTCATTCTTCCTGTCCTGTGAGCATTACTCTGATTTTTCTGGTTCTTGTATCTTCCCCATGTCGGATTTCAAGGCCTCTACTCAGAGTGGCTTTGTGAACACACTGATGATATACTGTGGGAACTGTGGTTTTTCTGGCTTCAAGAAAAAAACTGATCAACAGCCATTCCAACCCCTGTCCAGAGCTGGCGGTTTACGTTTGTTGTTTATGCAGTTTATTTATGATGGTTGTTTATGTGTGTTTGACAAACACAGAGAGGGGTTCTCTATACTATTTTTACTTATCTATGTATTTATTTGAAGATTTTATTTATTTGTCAGAGAGAGAGAGTCCGCACAAGCAGAGGGAATAGCAGAGACAGAGGGAGAAGCAAGCTCTCTACTGAGCAGAAAGCCCGATGTGGGGCACAATCCCAGGACTCTGGGATCATGACCTGGGCCAAAGGCAGACGCTTCTGCCTGAGCCACCTAGGTGTCCCTCTCTACCCTATATTAAACAAATTTTCCTAAGTCTCTAGGATCAGGTAGCCCTAGAGCTACTTGAAGTCTTAACTATTTGACATTAGTTTTGAAAACAATTCCTTTATTATTAACCTTATCATACCCTTACTTACTGTTTTGTTTTCCTATGCTTTTCAGTTCCTGCAATAGCCTGCATATATTTAAAAACAAATTTGTCCGGGCCCCTGGGTGGCTCAGTTGTTAAGTGCCTGCCTTCGGCTCAGGTCATGATCCCAGTGTCCTGGGATCAAGCCCCCAACGGGCTCCCTGCTCAGCGGGAAGCCTGTTTCTCCCTCTCCCACTCACCCTGCTTGTGTTCCCTCTCTTGCTCTGTCTCTCTCTGTCAAATAAGTAAATAAAAATCTTAAAAATAAATAAAAAACAAATTTGTCTTAAAATTAACAATGTAGAATTTATATCCATGATTGTATTTAAAATATAGTCCAATGATATCTTTTTAAGTTTATGTTTATCAACTGTCAGTGTTGATCCTGATTAAAACTTGAGGACAGGAAACAGAATCTGAGTAGATTAAAATACAGTCTCTTTGGCAACACCAGAAACATGATAAGCCTTTTATTTAGCACTGTTTATATCACTTGTTACCTATGACAGAACAAGATCCGGGGCTTGGGGCTTTTGGTAGGCTCAGCTTGTTCAATGGCTTCTAAGTACCATTTCCTCTGTCACTGAAATTTCCGCTAGGGCCCTGCAGAAGAAACTCCTTCAATTTGGTTTATCTGACATGAACAGCTCCACCCCCGCCCACACTGTTGAAAGCATCCTTGAGATTTAGCACAAAACAAAAACAAACAAATCCATTCTGAAACCGACAAAATGTTCCCTACCCCAATCATGGCTGCCAGTTATATTCCTGAAAGAGTCTGGTTGACCTTTAGTGGAAAGTTGTATTAGAGGCCAGAAGGCAGGGACATGAAGTATCTGCAGGATGGTACTGGATCTATGAACTGGATGGCAGCTGGGAGCTAACTGTTCATTACCTTTAGAACAGAAGAAAAAATTCCACTTGGCTATCTATGATTTAATAAAGATTCAAAGTTCACATACACGGTTTAAATTTAACTCTAACTAAACTAAGTCCTTTTTTTGGTCTCAGTGTGAATAATTTAAATGAATTCCCTCTCTCTTTTCTAAATTACCGTCTTTAATATTCATACACATGCTCAAAATTGCCATACCAATTAATTTATTTGAATTATAATACCATTAAAAGTACGAAGAATCTCATTTTTTAAAAACATAATTGTTTTTTGTCCAAGTATTTCATTCAATAATAATCACAATACATTAATTATTTTACCATTTCATTTTTGGCTACAGAACTAATGGTTTTTTCTAATTAATTAATGAAACACGGGCGGACTCTACATGGGGAAGTCCCTTTGCTTTCATAAGCAAAATACAGACCTTGTATGTGTTTGTATATATATTTATCTGTAAGACAACATTACTATTATTTTTATCACATGCAGTTTTAATGGTTAGCTATAATATTTCAAATCCCCTTAGAAAAACACAAAGTTATTTAGTGTTTTAATATTATAAGTAAAGTTTCCAAAAAAGCAACTGAGAATATCAGTGAACACAAGTTATTATCACAGTAACATAAAGTTGAGAAGTATCAAAAACATGTAAAATATTAGACTTTACCCAAAATTTCAGGTGTGACAGTTTCTTAGGTCAAGATTATTTAAGGTTTAGAAGAATGAAATCATAAAAGATCGCAAGATACATGGTTTGTTATGCCCGTCTACAGTTCTTTCTTTACATTATTTAGATAGCCATCAACCAATCCAAGTCTGGAGTATATTTTATAGTTTGGCACATAAACAGAAATACAGAGTATTACAAGGTCACAGTCACTGAGGGCATTCATTACTGTAGCTTTAATGCAATAATCTAATTTTTGGATAGATTTCAACATGTAATGCCTGTAACCCCCATTTCTCCATTTTGAGGTAACTGTATAATTATCACAGGCACAAAGTAAAATCACATTTAAAGAATCAAAAGTCACAAAAGAAATAGGTCCTCAGTTTATCAATAAATATTTTCCAATTAGTAATACCAAGTGACAAGATCCCCAAACTGAGAATTACTAATTTAATTCTATTTATTATATATTGTTATATGACCTTTTATATTCAAAACATTTAAGATAAAATTCTCCAACTTTAAGTTTTAAATTTAAGTATGGAAAAAACAAATGGCTAAAAACAACAATGAAAACTATGAGAAGACCAGTGAAGGACAACTTACCAGACATTACAACTCCCTAGAAAGCCACTGCATTCAAAACAGCATGGTGTTGGCACAGAAATGGATAGGGATCAGAATACAGAGTCCAGAAATAGATTCAAATATATATGGCATCCTTATATGTGGCAAGATAACATTTCAATCCCATGATAAAGGTTCTTGTAATAACTACAAACTAATAAAGACAGAATCCTTCTTTGTACCATGTACAAAACTTAAAAATTGCAGTCAGATTTGAAGGTTTTAAAAACTGGGGAGAAAATAGTGGAAAATATTTAATGACCTTGAGATACACACACCACCCTGAACAAAACAGATTATCTCAGAAGCAATAAAGAAAAAGACAGACATATTTGATTAAATAATAATTAAAAATTTTCATGTGGCAAAAGACATCCCACACAGAGAAGAATGATAAAGATACATTTGCACACATATAACCAGGATTAACATTTCTAAAACATAATAACTCTCAGAAAATACAAAAGAAACACATTACCAAGCAGAAAAATGGGTAGTGGAAATGAAGATGAAGTGAAGAAAAGAGAAATTCATATGGATAATAAACATATGAAAATATTCTCAACATCAACAGTAGTGGGAAAAAGGTAAATGAATGATCAGGGACGATTAGATTGGTAAGAATTAAAAGGAGCAATGACATCTAATGCTGATGAGAATGCGGGAAATGGGCACTCTTACGCATAAATATCATTTGCTATTCCTCTGAGGAAAATAATTAGCTTTATCTGTTAAAATTAAAAATACACATACCGTTTGACCAAGCAATTCCACTTCTGGGAATCTATCCTATAGAAGAAAAAAAAAAAAAAAGGACCAGTACGTAAGGACGCAGGTACAAAGATGTTTACTGCAGCATTGTTTGTTGTGTGGCAGAGGAAGAGGGGGGCTTGGAAATCGCATTATGCCCAGTGATGGGAGAAACAGTTAAATGAAATGTGATATATCTACAATATGCAATTATTTAAAAGAACAGGATAAATTGGTAGATGCTAACTTGGAGGTAATGAAAGCAAACTGGTAAGGTAAGAAAAGCAAATTGAAGTGCCATAATCCCATTCTTAAAATGGCAGCCACAGCAGCAACAGAACAGCATGTGTGAGGCACTCACATGTACATGAAGGAAGACATGGAGGAATACAGACCAGACTGACAAAACCGACCTACGGCTCAAAGTGGAATCAGGGATTAGAAGGGAGAAGGATTACTCACTTTCTCTTAGTATATTTCTGTGCTGTTTCACTAGTGGCTAAGGGCACCATGATACTCTTAAAATTTTCAAAAATATATTTAAGAAACAATTATTAACTCTTATTAGTGGTAGTAGAGCCGTATTTCCAGACATTCATCCTCAGTGAAACAGTAGCAAATAACTATTCCTTTCTTTGATTATGCCAGTCAACACAGTATTCATGTTTAATTGCTTGCCCAGTCACCATTCCATCTCTCTCCCATATGTTTGTTAGCATGTGGTTTAGGTGGGTCAGACTCCCAGGGACACCTGAATGGTCTAAGGTAATTCTGTACACAAGAAACACAATTGGAGCCGCTTCTAGAATTTCAATTTTCTAATAGTCACATTTTAAAAAATTAAAAAACAAAACAAAACACATGGAAGTATTTCCAATCATGTACTTGCATTCTAACTCCATAAATCCCCAAATACTACTGTTTCAACATATACTTAACATACAAATTATTAATTAGCTATTCCACATTCTTATTTCATATCTCAATTTAGACAAGCTGTATTTCAAGAGCTCAATAGCCACATGTGGCTAGTGGCTACCATACGGGATAGCATGAGTCCAAGCTAATGGAAGAACTGTTTTAATGTTACCATATTCAAGGGGGACATATAATTTAAGATGGCACACTTAAAAAAAAAACCACAACTCATCATGACAGAAGAAGAAATATCTTCTTGTGACAAGAATGAATAAGAAAAAAATAACCCTGAAAACTCCTGGCAGCCATGTGTGACCTATGAAGGAAAGCTCAAATGGGATGAAGGAGAAAATGGGTCCTGTGTCAACACTGAACCTTGGGATCAACCCCTGCCAGGACCATGGCCCATTTAGTTACTTGAGCTGGTAAAGTTCATTTATTTTTTTCAGCCACTTTGAGTAAACTTTTCTTTATGACCTGCCATCAAAAGTATCCCAACTGAAGGGCACCTGGGTGGCTTAGTCAGTTAAGCATCTGCCTCCAGCTCAGGTCATAATCCCAGGGTCCTGGGATCGAGTCCTGCATCAGGCTCCCTGCTCACCAGGGAGCCTACTTCTTCCTCTACCCTTGCTTCCCTGTTCTTGATCTCTTTCTTTCTCTCTCTCTCTCTTTCTCAAATAAATAAATAAAATCTTAAAAAAAAAAAGTATCCCAATTGATACTCATCTATGGCCAACACCATATCTAAACAAATAATCTCTTCTTAAGCAAATTAACTCAGATGTTCAACACTTCTTCCATTTATCTGCAGTCAAGGCATGTTTTTGTTAAACTAGCTTTATTTGATAACATTTTTAGATATCTTCTGGAAATACGCCTGAAGATTTCCACAGACTAATTCCTCATCACCCAGAATAACTGTCCATGATTACTACCCAACAGAGTAGTTCTCCTCAAGACAATACAGACAAGAGGAGCCAAAGAAACCTAACAGTTTCACTCTCACTCTACTCTCTTTTCTAGTCCTTCCTCCCCAGACCAGGGTTCCCCAACTTGAGCACTATTGACATTTTGGGGAGATAAGACTTTGTTGGGGAGTGTGGTTTCCCTGAACATCGTAGAATGTTTAGCAGCATCCCACTAGATAATAAAAGAAATCCCACTCTCCCAGTAGTTGCAACAATCAAAAATGTCACTAGGCATTGTCAAATATCCTCTTTGTGGACAAAAATTGCCCCTGGCTGAGAACTACTGTTCTAGATCAACCACCAGTTCAACTACACAAGTAAACTTCATTGTTCTGTTAGACTGAGTCACTGTAGAAAATGTTAAAGTTTGTTCCCTGTATCACAAGCTTTCCATAAACACATGAGGTTCTAGAATCCCATCTGTTCATGTCTTCCACCTACCTTTCCAACTATGCTGACCCTAAGCTCTCCATTATATTCTTCTTTCCAGAAGAAATGCACCTACTTCCCTCTAACTTCAGCTTGAAATAATTAGTTGACTGGCTTCCAGAACAAACCACCCAACCATTTTTCTTGGGCTTCTCTGAGGGGATTTTTCTTATAAATAAAATATTTGCTCTCTCATTTATAGTCATTCATTCCTCAATTAAGACTCTGCCAACTACGCCACCCAGCTCCTCCATCAGTCCATGTTGGTGAGCAACTCCACCCCTGTCTCTCCACACTATAATACCTCACATTTTATCCTCCCTAATCCATCTCTAAGACTACAGTTTCACTGTAACCCCCACTGGAAAGCTTCACAGCTTCTCAAACTGATCTACAAAGTTAATTCAATTCCAGTAAAAATCTCAACAGGTTTTTGTTTTTGTAGAAATTGACCAACTGATTCAAAAATTAAAGAATCTAGAATAGCCAATACAATTTAGGGGAAAAAATCAAGATGGAGAATGAACACTATCTAATATTTAAACTTAGTATAAAGCCACAATAATAAAAACAATGTGGTATTGGTATAAAGACAAATAGGTCAATGAGAAAGAATGTAGTCTATAAAAAGACACATACAAATAAAGACAACTGATTTCCAACAAGGATAAAAAACAATTCAGGGGAGAAAGAATGATTTGTTCAACAAATGGTGCTAGAACAATTAGATACCTACATGCAGGAAAATGAACGTCAATCCATATTTCACCCACACACAAACTGAACTCAAAATGGATCACTTAAATTCATGACTGTAAAATTCAGAACTATAAACATTCTAGAAAAACAACAGGAGAAAAGCTTTGTGATCTGGATTAGGCAAAGATGGTTAACCATGTTCATTTAAAGGACAAACTGGTAACACAGACTTCATCAAAGTTAAAAACATTTGTTCTTCTATCAATGCTGTAAAGAGACTGGAAACACAAGTCACAAGTTGGGAGAAAATTTACCAATCATACATCACAGTATTATCTATAATGGCCAAAAACTATCAGCAACCCTAATGTCCATGAACAAATGGATGGATAATCAAACTATGGATAAATAAACTGTACCCATTCAATACGACATTACTTAGCAATAAAAAGTAATTCACAGAGAAATCTCCTAATAACTAAGCTGAGTGGAAACAAAACAAAACAAAAAACGGTACAAACAGTATTGTTGCATTTATTGAAAATTTTAGAAAATGCAAACTAACCTTTAGGGATGGAAAATACTAAGAACTGCCTGATTTGGCATGGTGGTGGGGGGTGGGGGCAGCAGTGGAGGGAGTCCTAACAGACCAGTAAGAGGAAACTTCTGGGCAAGACTGTTTCATTCCCTTGATCCGGTGGTGGTTTCACAGGTATATGACAAAGTTTATGAAATTGTGCACTTTAAGTGCAGTTTATTGTATGTGAATTGTTCTTGCATAAAGCTGTTTGTTTCTTTTTCCTTTTTAAAGGTGTTGGCAGGGGTGGGGCACTGTCAGCTGTTGTGGAAAACATTAGCTGCTAGATCACCTAGGGCTCTACTGCCCTTAGCGCAGCTGAAACTGGGTCATGCTACATGGAATTTCATGAGAAGAAGCTTTTCTGGTGTGTTTTGCGTGCTTGTTTCACATGGTTTTAAATTCCGCTGAGGAGTAATACAAATGAAATCCATTTCATTGGGTACTTAACATCACACAGCTTAGGTGATGTTAAATGTGTGCTGGACAGAGAGAGATCTGAGAGAGCCTCAAGAAGTACCACTGTCCACTACCTTTACTATAATTCCCCTTTTAAGTTATCTCCCCAAACAACGACCACCATGACTGTTTCTCCTGTGGTTTTCAAGATAAGTCTGACCAACACCTTTCAGAAAAAGGGAAAGAAAAATGAGAATAAACTAAGTGGCCTGAATGCTCAAAGATAATAATTAAGTAACATGCTTTAACCAGATGTTTGATGACAGTGTTTTTCCCTGCAATTCTATCAGCATCAACTGCATTTACATACAAATTGATAATACCTTGGAATCCCACCTGAAAAAAAACAAAAACAAAAACAAAACAAAACCCAACCCTGTTCCCCTAAGACATAAAACCCATGTACTGATCTATTAATTCCTTTCCGGTATGTGATGTCAAGTGCATTTTAAAAATTATACTCCATTGTCTCCAAATGCTTCTTTAATCCACAAGGAGTGGTTTTAGCATTTAAACTAATCTATCCTAGACATAAAAAAAAAAAAACCTTCTGCTTATTCTCCCAGATAATTGATTCTTGATTTGTTAAGATACTAAACACTATGCTTTATACCCTGAAATGCCAAACCCCTGGTGATCTCACTCATGTGCCCCATGCAGAGCAAATACCACTTAGTGCCTCAGCACAGAGGCCAAGGGGAGCTAAGAAAAGAACACACCCCCTCTTTGTCCTGCTGCCAGCTCAGAGGGATGGTCCCCACTGTCCCTGCATTAAACATTACCCTTTGCTCCGCAGCAGCTACAGAAGGAAGTCATATGGTGCCAACTTCTCAAAGCAAATACCCTTTTCAGTTTTGGAACATGAAAATAAACCCAAAAGATAAGCTCTGCTCAAAGCTGGCTTAAGGAAAGGTACAGACCACCCCCAACAGTCACATGAAGAGACAGCACTGGAAAATCAGGGTTTAGTAAGAGATTGGCACCCAGGA